AAAACAATTCCAAGAGCACTCCGATCTTGACCTTGTTTAGAAATTTCCATGATCGAAAGGCGTGGAAAATTTCCGAGACCAGCCAATGTACGCTTAGAGCTCTCTTTAGTTGCCCTGCACCTTACGTTCTGCATTTATGTGTTTTTGTTTATTGGATCTCAAAACATGGACATGGAAGACAGGTAACCTAAAGCAAACCAACCAAATTTAGAGGGAAATCTGGTTCTGAGTTGACGATTAAGAATCTTAGGTAATTCTTGATTATAATTAGCTAATTACTATAAAAACTATACCTTAATTTATCTAAAAAACAGGTTAAACTCACTCTTAAACATGGTTTTTTAGCACTTGCCCTGCGTTGTGTTGTCTGGTCCACGCATAGCAAACATGATATCGAAGTCCAAGTCTTCCCTGTAATTGTCAAGGAGTTGTTCCCATGTCATTTGTGACTTCGGAGTAGTCAAGGGTTTTAAATTATTGAATCTAGAAAGAGCCCTCATGGTGGAGCTCCAATTTTGCTTGACCAAACCCTTTTCTCCTCATCATTTTATCTGACAAATGCGAGAAGTTAAGCGGAAAATCAACGAAATTTCTATTCACTATCATAATTTGGAATCAGATGGGGAATATTAGGCCGGATTCTAAGGCGCATGTTTCATGAAAAATTATATCTTTTGCTTAATTTTAATACTCTTTTTAAGTTTTTGGATGTTTTTGATATAAAAAATAATTTTAAAAAATAAAAAAAATATATTATTTTTATATAAAAAATATTATTTTTATATAAAAAAATATTTTAAACTCTGAATTATATGTAATATAAGCTCTACGAGGGAATTAACTCTGAATTATATGTAATATAAGCTCTACCCAATATATGATAAGAGGGAATTAAATATATGTTTGTTTGGAATTTTAGTGATAATTATTTTTTAAAGTATTTTTTGTGTTGAAATACATCAAAATAATTTTTTTTATTTTTTACAATTATTTTTAAAATCAACGGTATTAAACAATCTAAAACACATAAAAAATTAATTTTTAATTAAAAAAATTAAATTTTTGATAAGCCTCTGTTCTCAAATAGAACTGGAAAAGAACATCTTCTACCGGCAGCAAGGAATATCAGAATGGTGTGTAAAGATGAGTTACCCTCTTTGCACTCCTAGTTAAAAATAGATTGCGATTATGGCATGATTAGAATAAGGAGAAACTAAAAAGAGCAACAAATATTCCATTCTTTTGGCTTGCCACTAGCATAGAATAGCAAGCATGCATCGCAAAAGGAGAAGAAAAGAAGAAGGCGGCGTGGGGTCTCAGTGCCAAAGAATATACTTTTAGAAGATGAGATAAGATTCAATCATCCAAGGGAGTGTGAAAGAAGAGAAACCTCTTTGATGCCGTTGGAGTGGTGGTGGTTTTGTTTTCCAACACATAATATTTTTTTAATAAAATAAATTATAATTGAGGAAAAATAAAATAAAGGACAAGAAACACAGAAACAAACAAAGAAAACCAACCCATAAATTAAATAAAAACTTGATTAAAAGGCGAGGGGGGACCTGACCAAGCCTTCCCTTCTCATTCCGCTTTATCTTCTTCTTCTTCTTAATCCTTCCTGGGATTTCTAGGGTTTCTTTCATGGATCCTGGCACTGTACCAAGCTTTGTCATTTCATGAGCTTTCGTTGATTTCCTTCTTGACCGGATCATATCAAATCTCTTAATGGAGGTAAAGAAAAAAGATCCAACCTTTATTTATTCTTTCCCCCTTTTCCCTCTCTTTTGAAGCTTTAATTGTTTTTTTTCCCTGTTGAAATACTTGGATTGATTTGATGGGTTTGTAAAGTTTGAATCTTTTGATTGTGTTGATCAAGTTCTCTTCTGGGTTTACTTTGTGAGTCCATGTTCTAACTAATGAAATGATTTTAATTTTCCTGTTTTTGAAATGAAATATATAAAGGAACTGCTTATACCTATCTTGTGAATCTGTTAAGGGAGACTATTTGATGATGGAGATGAAAATAACATAAATATCAAATGTTAAAAAAGAAAACCAGTAATTTTTTCTTATAAAAAAGAGAGAACATGGATGTTTAATTCTATGTTGGCGCTAAATTTTTGTTCAGCCCTATTGGGTTTGGAATAAAGTTTCACTATTCTGGTAGATAAGCCTAGCTAGTGGGGATTTTTTTTTTGCGGTGAATTTGGCTATTGGATTTATGGTAAGAATTTATGAATTCAACAGGAATTTTTTGTTTTTCTAGTCAGTTTAACATGTAATGTGTTTTGGCGATTTCTTATTGATGCGAGGAACTAACAATTTCAACTGTTTGACAATATTACTGCCTGTGCTCTTTGGCACAGAAGCTGCATTTCAGAAACACTACACCCAGTAAATTGACTTGTTTCACTTGCGTGTTGAGTGATTTAGTAGGCTGACTTTAACCGCTTTGAACTTTGTGGGTTTTGGTCTTGTGCAGGTTCTGGAGATGGATGAAGCAAAGAAACCTGAAGTGCATATGACATCAGCTGCGGCATTTGTGGAGGGGGGAATCCAGGACTCATGTGATGATGCATGCAGCATTTGCCTCGAAGAGTTTTGTGAAAGTGATCCCTCAACGGTAATAGTTTTTGTCATGTTTGTTTCATCTGCCTCTTTAACCTTAATGCACACATGGAATCCTATAAAAAAAAATTATTTATATATTATGTGCTTATTTTGTGTCCTAAATTGTGTTGTCTCTTGCTTGGCAGGTGACTAATTGCAAGCATGAGTTCCATCTTCAGTGCATCCTTGAATGGTATGGTGAAATATGTTTCAATCAATTCTTTCTTCCCTTTTCCCTTTCTGATTCTTCTAACTTTTTCAAAACATATTTGCTTGCTTTGTGTGGTTTTCCTTTCTTATTTTAGGTTCAACTTATATGGACATTTGAATCGATGCTTATAGATGGGTCAGTGGTAGGTTTGGTTGGAGATAGTTTTAAGGACATATATTGAAGTCTCTGGGATGAACTTAGATGCAGAGAGGGGTTATTGTGATTTGGAAAGAACAAAGATCTACTAATTAATATTGCCTGACATGAATCTTAGAATACTTTTTAACTTTGATTTGACTATACTTTCTTCCCTCCTTATGCGATGTCATTTGTGAAAGTGATCCCTCAACGGTAATAGTTTTTGTCATGTTTGTTTCATCTGCCTCTTTAACCTTAATGCACACATGGAATCCTATAAAAAAAAATTATTTATATATTATGTGCTTATTTTGTGTCCTAAATTGTGTTGTCTCTTGCTTGGCAGGTGACTAATTGCAAGCATGAGTTCCATCTTCAGTGCATCCTTGAATGGTATGGTGAAATATGTTTCAATCAATTCTTTCTTCCCTTTTCCCTTTTCCCTTTCTGATTCTTCTAACTTTTTCAAAACATATTTGCTTGCTTTGTGTGGTTTTCCTTTCTTATTTTAGGTTCAACTTATATGGACATTTGAATCGATGCTTATAGATGGGTCAGTGGTAGGTTTGGTTGGAGATAGTTTTAAGGACATATATTGAAGTCTCTGGGATGAAATTAGATACAGAGAGGGGTTATTGTGATTTGGAAAGAACAAAGATCTGCTAATTAAGTTTGCCTGACATGAATCTCAAAATACATTTTAACTTTGATTTGACTATACTTTCTTGCCTCCTTGTGCGATGTAAGAAATGGTCTGTTCTGTGTCCAATTAATCTAATAGGGATTTTTAATATCCCCTGATTTGTTCTGTATTGCTGCTGTTGTTTGTCACTGTCATCTACTAGGTTTACATGTGCAGTTCTCTTCCTTTTATTCTTTGCTTGGTGAAGCCTTTGTTGGAGCAGTGTTTTCTTATGCAATGTTGTTCTCATCTGTAGAGAGAACATGGAGAGTTGAATTTGTTTTTAGTTCAGTATTTGATCTTTAATCCTAGCATTTCTAACACTGTTGAAAAGTCAGTGGTACCTGCTTTCCTACAACTCAACCCAAGTAAATGTTGATTCCAAACTGGTTGGTCTTTCATTACTGCCTACTGTCTAAGTTGATGGTACCTATTTTACTAAGCAAACAAGTCTACAATTTCAAAAGTGTAAATATCTCTGTGGTGTTCTGTTTTTTCTTCTTCTTATTATTATTTTTCTTAAATAATTTGCAACTAGTAGCTATCTTAGCTCATTAAGAAATCAAAATTGCACGAGTTTTACCTTGTCTTATCTACACAATGGACTATTTGTCAATGGTTAACAGATGCAAATCATTGTGGTGTGATGGTTGAGTTAAAGAAGGAAGAAAGAATCTGATAATATTTCACTAATTGTTATTTGTAGGTGTCAGAGAAGCTCTGAGTGTCCCATGTGTTTGCAATCCATTAGTCTTAAAGATCCCACCAGGTTGGTTTCGCTTGTTAATTATTTTGATATTTTTATGTGATTATTTGTTCAATTACATTTCTGAGTCGTTTTCATGTTGCTGCAGTCAAGAATTGTTTGAGGCTGTAGAACGGGAGAGGAAAATCAGGGCTGCTCCTTCAAGAAATGCTACTATTTTTCATCATCCTACACTTGGGGATTTCGAGTTGCAGCATGTCTGTTTCCTATCATTGCTGAAATCCTGTGTTTGTTACTTTTTGGTTAATACATTACAAGCTGTATTCAGGAGATTAAACCTGACATAACTTTTGCTTTGTGATCCAGCTACCAGTTGGTGTGAGTGATTCTGAACTTGAGGAGCGTATAATCCAGCACCTGGCTGCTGCTGCTGCTATTGGAAGGACTGGCCAATTGTGAATGCAGGAATTGCAACTGTATCTCGTATGATGGAGCGCCTTGAAACCAGAGATAACAGTGGAGACAACCAAGTTTCTGTGTCAAATCATTTGACTGATCGCTCCAATGTGGAGAGGAGCAACCAGAATAATGCTGTGACTCACATGGAGAGCCCATTAAATGAAGGAAGTACACCAGCTGCTTGTGCTGCAAGTTCAGCATCTACTTAAGTTAAAGAGTTTCTTCAGAAATTACATCTGTCCTCGGCATTTCATCTTTAAAGGTGAGTCATGATTTTGGTTTAAATTTCATTTTTAAAGTAACTAGTTTACTGACGAGCCATTAGATGCCACCATATCTGTATTTCTTTTCCCTTTTTCACTACTTTTAATTAGGAGGAGCTTCCAATCTCTTTGTTGAGTGCACAGCTTACACCCAAAATTAATGGTCATTTGATGCTTTGAATGTTCCATACAAGTTTGCTTAGTTGATCCCATTCATCTCTACACTATTTTATCTAGACATGTTGATATATCCTATTGCATGATATTTCTTTGACTCTACAGTGTTCATCTACTTGGCTGTGGATGTAATTCATCACTATGTTTCCCTATTCTGTGGTACTTAGTGTGTGAGAATTATCAAGAGACGGTCATTCCACACTTGTTGTTGACGGGAATATTATATTAAGGGCAAGGCCAACTGACCTATTCTTGTCTTAGCGTCGGGGCACATCATATGAGCTACTTCAAGATATTTAATATTTAACCTGAGTTCGATTTCAGTTTTCAGGTTGTGACCTCTTTCACTCCAAATATGACATGCTGAGGAGAAGATGCTGTGTATCACAAAGCAGAGGATGAGCTTTCACCTGAAATTGAATAAAAAGGTAAGAAAGAGTAAGTCTTTAGAAACAACTTCCATGTGGACAGATATACATTGGGTATATGTATGTAAATTTGTTTTGTAACCCAGATTTGTTTCAAAGCTAAAGCCAGAACATCCCACGAGGAAATTGTATTCGAGCTATATGTATTATGCCTGGATGGTTGGATTTTCGTACAAGCAGAACACTAATACATCTATCTAATCATGCATTGAAATGTTAGAACCCAGGCCTTTTAAAGGAAAATTACTGGTTTGCATGTATTCTATGACGATTTGTTGCTCTGCACTGCACAGACCATCATCCCATTTTGGAAATGAGTTCGTGGGATCATGGCGGTAAGACGAAGTAAGGATTTGCCGGTCCACACCATTCAATTTGCTGTAGGGACTTGTTCTCTGGGAGTTAATGATGACTTTATCCGGAATTAACTGAAAATGGTGCAAATTTAGCCGTGAACAATTTCGAGCTTAAATATATGCATGGACCGAGAGCCTTCTGAATTTAGCTACCTTGTAATATAACCTTTAGGCTTTATTATTGAAAAGAGCCCCAAAAGAGGTCGTCTGTTTGAGGCTCCCTGGTCACTGGAAGATCGAGTAACGTGCATTGAGTTACACAACAGGCCGCCCATCAATTTGTTTGTCGGAAAAGAGAAAATTAACCAAGTAGGCATGCCCTTTGGGGAGCCCGAGCGTTGGGTGTAATTCGAACTGTCCCAAGTCCTTTACGCAGTGCTCCTTAAGCCTCGTAGAAGTCAGACTATGACCATGGTTTGGAGCACTACCTAAGCCTCAATGATAGGCTCAGCCATGGTTAAAATGGCCTGTCTATGGTTTGGAGCACCACTTAAGCTAATAGGCTCAGCCATAACCCTGTACAATTCATATTTAATGTGGTTGTATAGGTGGAAAATGTGAACCTAATCGTCCAATCTGTTTATAAAATTATGGTAATGAATTTGATATTTACAATCTAAAACTCGAAATTACCCAAAACTTTTGAAGTTTGATAAATGTGACCCATGAATACCTCTTGGTTTAAAGAATAAAACTTATTACTTACACAACAGGCCGCCCCCCAATTTGTTTGTCGGAAAAGAGGGAATTAATGAAGCAGGCATGCCCTTTGGGGAGCCCGAGCGTTGGGTGTTATTCGGACCGTCCCAAGTCCTCTACGCAGTGCTCCTTAAGCCTTGTAGAAGTCAAACTATGACCATGGTTTGGAGCGCTACCTAAGCCTCAATGATAGGCTCAGCCATAACCTAAATGGCCTGTCTATGGTTTGGAGCACCACTTAAGCTAATAGGCTCAGCCATAACCCTGTACAATTCATATTTAATGTGGTTGGTT